GCATCAAGCATGCTAACATTTGTATCATAGAGGTTCCAGAAGGGGAAGAGAGAGAGAAAAAGACAGAAAACCTATTTGAAGAAGTAATGGCTGAAAACTTCCCCAACCTGGTGAAGGAGACAAACTTCCAGGTCCAGAAAGATTAACCCAAACAGACACACACCAAGTCACATCATAATTAAAATGTCAAAAGTTAAAGATTAAGAGAGAATCTAAAAAGCTTCAAGAGAATAATAACTAGTTATGTACAAGGGAACTCCCATGAGACAATTTGCTGATTTTTCAGCAGAAACTTGGCAGGCCATAAAGAAGTGACATGATATACTCAATGTGATGAAAGGAAAAAGCTGACAACCTACATTCTCTACCCAGCAAGGTTAGTCAGAATTAAAGGAGATACTTTCAACAATAGAAGTAAATTAAAAAGAATAAAGAAAATAACAAGCCAAACCATAAAATAAATAAACAAATAAAATAAAGATGATAGCTTCCCAAACAGCAAAAGCTAAAGAAGTTCATCACCACTAAACCAGCATTAAAGGGAATTCTTTAAGTGGAAAAGAAAAAGCTAAAACTAGGAGTATGAAAATATATAAAAGAAAAATTTTCACTAGTAAAGGCAAACATATAATGAATGTAGTAGACTAACTACTTATGATACAGAGAACAAACCAATAGTTGCCAGAGGGTTGAGTGGTGGGGATGTGGGCAAAACAGGTGAAAGAGATTAAGAGGTACAAACTTATAGTTATAATATAATTAAGTCATAGGGATATAATGAACAGCATAGGGAATACAGTCAGTAACATGGCAATAACTTTGCAGAGTGACAGATGGATACTAGATTTCTCATGATGATAACTTCATAAGGTATATAAATGTCAAATCTCTATGTTGTATACCTGAAACTAATATACTATTGTATGTCCACTATACTTTAATTTAAAAGAGCTTTACATTCCAGAATGAAGAAAATAACTCATAAGTGTTCATGGAAAGACTATCTTTTTTTTCGAGTCCTGATACAATGTTGCAGTATGTCATTATGAAAAAAATTCAAAATAAGATTGTGTTCCTAAATTTATCTTTCCAAGAATTATATAATTCACTCCTAATTATCCATATTTCTTTTATATTTTGAAAAAAATGAGACTTATTCTTATAGTGATTTATGACACTTGTTTTGGGGTAATGTACTCTATTTTGCCATTAATCTTATTTGAATGTACTTAGAAAGATAAACTGATAGGGTACATAATATATCCCAAGGCAAATGTAAATAATTTGGAGATCATCCTTAAAAAGAAAACTCTATTCACTGGCGGCCCTCCAATGAGTCCTCACCACTCCCCCTGCTGGTCACCAGAGCTCCTTAACAGACTGCAGCCCCTTACACTGGTGCCTCCGTGAATCATGGCTCCGGGGACTCACACCCTTGTGACCTAATCAATAGAAAGCAGCAGACAAACATGGTGCTCGTTCCCAGCTTAAGCCTCAAGGTTTGGCAGTTTCCGCCTTTGCACAGTTGAAGCCCTGAGCAGCCATGTAAGAATTCTGGCTACCTGGCTGGAAGGACCATGGGGAGGGGGAGGTCCTGTTGCCCCAGCTCCCCAGCTGAGCCTAGCCCCAGCCTACTCACCAGTTGAATGCAGGCTCAGCAGTGCCACTTACATGCCCATCAAAAGCCCAGCTAAATTGTAGAATTGCGAGCAAATAAAATGACCGTTGTTTTAAGCCATTAAGTCTTGAGATGGTTTGAACATAGTTATTGATCGATGAAGCCCTAACTTTTCTTAGATCTTAAAGAGCTCCTATTTAAGGTTTCTAAGTGGAATTTCTTATAATTCCATTTGTCACACCATCTTCTGCTCTAAGTTCTTAACCAGTCAGGGTTGTCATATGTAGTTGTATGGGTTGTGCACTGTACCAGGGCACCTGCCAAGGGAGCCAATGGGGACTGCTTACCTATCCTTCACTGAAAGGGCAGACTTTTTGTAAGTTACATGAATATGCTTTATTGGCTCCCTGAGTTCTGACAAAAAGTTCAGTTGAATCAAATCCAAGTTTGTTGACCTGGCCCCCAAGCCTCCTTTAACTAACTGCCTGATGCCATCTTCGTCTCCCTCCAACTTTGTCCAACCCAATCTCTCATTATTCATCTCCAGTCTTCGCCCAGAGGGGTTAACCTACCTCCACCCTCAGACGCGCCCACTTTGCCTTCCAATCGGCAGCAGCTCCCAAGCTGGGTTGTGCCTTCTAAGGGAGGATGCAAGCGCAGAACACCAAGCCTCTGTGTACTCAGGTGCCAGGACAGTTTTAGCCTTGCAAACCTCAGAGGATTTGTTTGCTCACAGGCACGTGGTGTGTGGGGGTGGGGGATGGGGTTCCAAGCCTGTTAAAGTGAGCAGGGGCAGCAAACCCATCCGTTAGTCCATTTTCAGTCTCCAGATGTGGAGGGAAAAGCCCAGGGGCCATGGTTTACTCTGCCCCAGGGAGGCTGTGCTTTGTTGGACCAGGGTCCAAAGGCACAGGACACTGCGTCTGAGACAGGGAAGCTGGTCTCCAGGGGAGATTCTTTTCCTCACAATTCATAGCACAACCATAGAGCAAAATGTTCCAATATGCTGTGCAAATGGACCAACACGACACGGGATACACGTGGTTGAACGTTGTAATCTTACTCTTCATTAAATATTCAACACTGACGATTAGATCTCTTCCTTTTCTCAGCTTCCCTTCTTCCTCTGCATTCCCTCCTCCTTCAGGCCGCTTCTCCATCTTCATGCCAACTCATTGCTGTGTCCCTGCTGTCCTGTCAGGGACACAGCCAAGGGTTTCTAGACCTGGATGAGAGTGCATATTGTTGTCTTTGACTCGGGATTCTTTATGGGAAGTGAAGGTGCAGCCTGGTGGGACTGCCTGGAGAATCGTGTCCCCCTGCGTTTACCCCAGGGTATAGCACAGTAATAGTCACTGTGTGGGAGGGAAGTGACTAGGTGCTCGCCTGACTTCCTGCGAGAAGGAGTTGGACTGCCTGGCCCTGTGCCCTCTCAGCAGCAGGGCCATTCAGGACAACCAGGATCTCAGGAAACCCGGCGTTATTAGGGCAGTGGGCTAACGGAGCCATTTCCAAGCTGGTCATTGTTAAGGGTGGCACATCCCTGCCTGTGATCTCTACAGATACCCAGGATGAGAGGCCTGGGTGCGAAACTTCTGACTGAGGCAGGAACTAGACAACTATATGCAGGGAGCTATAAAATAGAAGTAGTAATATTCATTAGAAGCCCACTGGCAATGCTACTGAGAAGGCTGTGTGGTCAAGTTCCTGGGTTCCTCAGGGAGAAATTCTGCCAGCACTTGTCCTTCTGGGTGCTTAGGTATTGTGCCCACGTGAAGCCAGAGAAATGGGCTGGATGGAGGCCCTCCAAGGAGACTAGTTTCTCACTCATCTGATCTAGAATTTAGGAAAGTCTCTTAACCTCTGCAGGCTCACCTCTTCATCTGTGAATTGAGGTTCAACAACCTTGGGTTTCTCTCCAAAGAAAGCCATAATGATTCAGTAAATTAATGCATGTGGGGATGCTTCATCAGCCCAAAGCACTCTGCAAATGTAAGGTGTAAATGCTTCCACATATCTGGGGTCATCTCACCACTGTGTCTGGGAGAATGCCACCGACACAGTGCACTCAGTACAGATGTATTTATAATGTCCTCTTATAGCTATATTCTAAAAGGAAGGTTATTGTTCCAGAACAGGATATAAACATTTTTTAATTTATTTTTTTAATCACAGACCTCTTTGAATATCTAATAAAACCATGAATACTTCCTCTCTCTCTCTCTCTCTCTCTCTCTCTCTCTCTCTCTCTCTCTCTCTCCCTCTTAAAAAAAGAGCAAAACTGAACCATGCTAATACATACATCCAATAACATTTCACATACAATTTCTGGGGGCTTTCAGCCTCCGCTACATCCACCTCAGCTTGAGGTAATGCCTGCGAGAGACTTACAGGCTTCAGCTCTCTGAGCAAAGAAACAGACTGTGTAGGAAAATGAGTGCAACAATGATGCTTAGCATTTGCCTGAAAAGAATTCTAGAGGGAACGTCCCGGAGATTCTAATGTATTCAAATGATGCTCTTGAAAAAATAATGTGTCTGATCATAACTAGTCTATTTAGTTCAAGCTGAAAAGAACAGGTCTGCCCCAAACATGTGCTACCCTCAGCTGACTGAGGCTTTTATGCAGAAAGTTGTGGTCGGGATACCTGAATCCTCCCACCTCCACAAAGGGCTGCTATCCAGTGACGGCTGAGAGATTTTGTTACGGCAGGTGAGGCGCCTGCAGGGCGCTCTGATGCGTGCTCAGGGCCCAGCTTATCGGAGATCTGCAAGCCAACTGCCAATGGCCCTGGCTGTGTGCGCCCTGGCCCAGCTCAGGGGACTGGATTTTACCTCAAGCCACACACTGCTTTTGGCTGAGTGGTGTCCTTGCAAAGTAGGATTTCGTTTTGGATACAGGAGTTCAGGACCAGGGCTAGCTCAGCCAAGGTGGGAACCTGCAAATTTATGCCAAGATCAAGTCAAATTGAGACCACATCCAGAAACGGAAAATGAAAAGGAAAGAAAATAGTTAAGCAGGAAAAGCAATGTCACGTGTTCCCCATCCAGCTGGAGCCCTCGATGGAGGAGCACAGAGGGTATTTGCCCCAAATGGTGCTTAGAACCAGGCGGGCACTTGCTTCTAAGCTCGGAGGGCACTCATTACCTCCTCTCCTCGCGGCGGCTTAAGGCATCTTGGTTATCGGGTATAAACGCCCACTCCCATGAGAGAGCCCCTGGTTGCCCGCCTGACTGAGCCCGCACTCGCTCCTTGGCTTCCAGCGACCAGAGGCCTACTGGAAGGCGAGGCCGGAGGCCTGCATGCTGGCTCGCCCACACCCAGCGAGATCAAGTGGCGGCGCGGGCAGCTGGAAGGCGCCCACGGAGAGAAACCGAGCACCATGCTCAGAAAGCTGCACTCCGTCTTCAGCTCCAGGGCGCAAAGGAAGGCGGAGGTGGCCGAGAGTTCCTACTGCGAGGGAGGCCCCCCGGTGCGGCTGATCCGCAGCAGCTCCATGTACGTGGTTGGGGACCACGGGGAGAAATTCAGCGAGTCCTTGAAGAAATACAAAAGCACCAGCAGCATGGACACCAGCCTGTACTACCTGCAGCAGGAGGGCGACCGGGCGTGGATGTACTCTCGCACCCAGGACTGTCTGCAGTACCTGCAGGAGCTGCTGGCCCTGCGGAAGAAGTACCTGAGCAGCCTCAACGACCTGAAGCCCAAGCGCGCCCACGGCTGCTCCTCCACCTCGTCCAAATCCTCCAAGGGAGGAAAGAAGGCCCCCGGCCAGCCCCCCTCCAAAGAAATCAAGGTAAGTGCCGCTGAGAAGTGCAGCTGAGATGAGAGTGGTTGCAAGAGCCGCCATGCAGTTTGGAAGCTGGCTCGTCCAGGCACAGCTTAGTTAACGCGCACATTCCGAGCGGCGGCTCAGTTGTCCTCAGAACTCTCCATGGCCACCTCCCTGCCGGGGAGAACGGCTAGTCCCTGTTGATTTCCCACCGGAGGCAAGGGGACGCGCAGCTCCCGGGGTGGATGAGATCATACTTGCATGGTGTTTGGGTGACAGCAAATCATTTCTCAACCAATGATTGCGGTTGTTGTTATTACTGCAATCACATCTGAGAGTCCCAGTGGAAAGTGAAATCGTATGAACAAGATGTTTCAAATCTCTAGCTGCTCAGCCCCGTATGAATCAAGTAACTGCAGGAGTTGCTCCCTCAGGACCCCGCACCCGGGCATTGTGGGACTCGGGCACAGCCACAGAGAGCGGCCTTGCTGGGCATCGGAGGCTGCAGGCCACACAGACTGAGCAGGAACTCAGTGGAAGAAATAGCGTGCATTTATCTGGTCATTTTTACCCTTCCCAGCCTTTGCATGTAGTACCTTTCTTTGAGCATTTCAGTGTTACCGGAAGACAAGGGGGTAGTGGCTCCTGAGTCTGACAGGAACCCCATTTCTGTATTTCCTAAAATTTTTGTCTAATGCTTGAGGTTTGAGGCTGTTTTGTTATATATTTCCATCAATCGTTTTCCTGCGGGTGGGGCTCTGGGGGTTCACAGCAGGCCTGTCTTTCCCACATCCTGGCTGGCTCCCAGCATGCCCTGCGGGCCACGCAAGCCCAGTATTGTTGAGTGACTGATTGGCCCACTATCAAATCTCCAGGCCTGGTCATTCAACTGGTTTTAACTGTCTGCACTTTATCCCAGGTGGGAGCAGTTTAAATAATCAATTTAACTCCCGAAGTATGGCATGTTGGGGCCCATACAAAGGTCCTACTCTTAGGTCCCGGTACTGAGCCTGTGCCAGCTAGCTGTAGGTTTGTGGGCCAGTCACCCGTTTTGGGGGCCACTTCTGATGACAGAGGGGGTTGCAGTGACTTCTGGACTCCCTTCCAGCTTGAGTGTCCTGGGGTTCTAGGCTCTGGTTAGGGTCCGTCCCTCTGGGCACTATGTTTCCTGCAGAATGGAGTCCTGTCTTTGTAGAATGGAGCTCCCTTCCTCCCTGCTCCCTTCCTGGTCCGGCTGTCTGAAGACGGAGAGAGGGTTAGTGGCAGAACGAGCAGCTGTGGCCGAGCAGGAATGGCTGTGAGGAGGGTCACAGGCACAGTGCAGTGTACCATTTCCTGGGGAGCTGCCTCTTACCATGGTGTGACCAGAAAGAGTTTTAAAAAGGACTTTGAAGTCAGTCAGAACAAGGCCTGAATTTTAACTCCGTATCTGCGAGTGAAAGCTGTGTGCCTTTGTCAAGTTGAGTTTCCGTCTCTGAGCTTCTATTTCGGGAGTGTGCGAATGGAAATAAGAGTCCACCTTGTGAAGAGGAAGCAAGATCCTGCCTGTGATAGGACCTGGCACATTCTAAGTAGTTCAGTGTTTACTGACCCTGGAATGTAAGGTGCAGCCTGCAGACAATGGCTCTCCTTCATCGCTCCTAAAGCAAGAGCTGTCCGCTGGCGTCCTGAGAAACATCGGGTGCAGGCTGCATCCTCAGAGGGCAGGCTAGCAAGGCGGCTTGTGCCTGCCTGGTCTGCACAGCAGGGGCCGGGGCCCAGGAGAATGCTTTCCTTCTGGAATGTCATCACCTTTCTGCATTGGTAGGAAATGATGTTCAAGGTTTAGGGAAAACAACATATTTTTTCTTGACCCTCGGTTATGTGCTGAATTGTCTCCCCAAAATCATGTTTCAATCCTAACACCTCAGAAGGTGATCTTTTTTGGGAAAAGGGTGATTACAGATGTAATTAGTTAAGGTGATTGTGAATTATTAGGGTGGGTCCCTAACCCAACATCACTGGTGTCCTTATAAGAAGGGAAAATTGGGACACATGCACGCAGGCAGGGAGAATGCTGTGTGAAGACTGTACTTACACTACCGCATGCCATGGAAATGCCAGAAGCTTGGAGAGGGGCTGGGGGCCTCCCTCCCCAGCACTTTCAAAGAGAGCACAGCCCTATTGACACCTTGGTCTCAGACTTCTGGCTTCCAGAACTGGGAGAGAATACATTTCTGTTGGTCTAAGCTGCCCAGTTTGTGGTACTCTGTAGTAGCAGCCCTAGAAAATGAATATACCCCTCTATAGAATCAGCCTTTTTTCTTCTCAAATATTAGTCTAAACCAGTGGTTCTCAACCTTGGCTGCACATTAGAATCACCTGGGAATCTTTTAAAAATCCTGTTCTGGGCCTCATCCTCTGGAAATTCTGTTTCTTTGTTATGGGATGGGGCCACAACATTAGTAACAAAGAAACAGAATTTCCGGAGGATGAGGCCCAGAAATCAGGATTTTAAAAAGATTCCCAGGTGATTCTAATGTGCAGCCAAGGTTGAGAACCACTGGTCTAAACACATCATTGTTTTAGCATTTATCATGTCCTACTGTGGTTGTTAGCTTGTGTATCTCCCTTGGTGAACTGTAGTGAGCTTGATGAAGCTAAAACAGTGTCTTTGTCATTTTCCTAACCCAGAGAGAGCATAGTGGTGAGTACTTACTGGTCAACTTATGGATGCTTTATAGACGAAAAGCCTGCTGTCTTTCATGCTGTAGATCATGGGTGAGCTGGCCTTCATGTAGGGAGTAAGCAGTGTTCCCTGTGGTTCTGGACACCATGGTGAGCCCTCCCTCCTTATCTCTCCCTCCCTCCTTCCCTCCCTCCCTCCATCCCTCCACGTAAATACCAGCTACAGAACCTAAGTTTCCCTGTCTCTCTTCAGGGGAAAGATAATGGCTTTTAAATGGTTTTGTTTAAAACTCTCAGTAAGAAGTAAATTTTAGATGTTGACCCAGTTTACCCAAACACACAACCAAAACAAAGTTCTCTCTTTGGTACTCTGATAGTTTTCAAGTGTTCTGTACTGATTTTTAAATATTGGTCATGACATATTAGATTGATTTCACATTCCACTCCTGGGGCAAGACTCAGAGTTTCTCACAGCCCAGAGTGAGGTATCCCCACAGGTCCCGATGAAATGCTCACGCATAACTAAGGCATGATGCACTTGGGTGCCAAGGTGTCTGTTAGCCTCACTCCCAGGAAATGCGGAGAGCCTGGAAGGGCACCTACATGGGTGATGGAAGGAGGAAGTGAAGTGAGCCTGGGGTGGGGGTGGGAAGACCCCTGGGTTCCCATGACCATGACGGGTCCTGGCCAGGCCCTATGGCAATCTGCTCAAACAAAAATTTCATATCTGAGGAGTTATGTGTCAGTGTTGGGCATGGGGTGCAATTTGGGACTCATTGTTTAAATGACCAAATGTTAGCATTTCCAACACAGAGCAAAATTCATGTGGAGGAAGGATGGCATATTTGAAATAGTCCTGGAACCACCGGACCCCCATGCCCTGGGCACCTGGGGTATTTCTGCCATCGAGGAGGAATAGTGGGGTCTCCTTCACACCCACCTCCCCTGCTCCTGTGCTGAAACCCAGGCACAATTAGGGACAATCAGCAGTCATTCCTGACTTCTAATCATCCTCCAAACCCGGTGTGTTGAGTCCTAGCCCCACACTGCCGATGGAATAGCTGGGGCTCAGAGACATCAGGTGCTCTGTAAGGCTGTGACCTGATGAAGAGGGAGCCAGCCTCTATCGCCAGAACTCACACTCCTGTTCATGTATCCATGGCACCTTTCCATTGGAAAACATATTTGAGCTTGTGTAATATATCAGGTGCGGAAGCCTGCACCTCAGGATGAGGTGAGGCTGCTTCATCCTGCACAGCTGGGCCAGCAGAGTCCTCCCCCTGCACGGATTCCATGCTCCGGCGAAGCTCCCCCACCAGGCGGCATGGCCTGGCGTCTTTGTGCGGGAGAGACCTGGACCAGAAGCACCACAGGCAGGCACGCTTTAGGCCCTCTCCTCTCCACAATCCATGAGTGAAAATCCCTCCCTCTTGACACCTTCTCTTCACATGGCTAACTCTGATTCCACTTTTACTCTTGATCTCCGTAGCACTGAAATACTGAGTGTGTACTACCTCCTCTTGCACTAGGAAGAAAGCTGAGGGGACAGCGTGAGCACCCTGCAGCAGGCACTTGGTAATGGGTTGGTATTGTGTCCTCAAATCATTTCAGCAGAAATACGTTCACACGTCCCAATTCATTCTTCGAAGTATCTGAGGGAGCCACACACCAGCAGAATAAGGTAGCAACAGAAGCTGGAAAATCAGGAGAAAAAATCATCAACAGAAAATCAAAAGAATATGCAGATCATGCAGCTAATTCAGCTGCTATAGATGAGCTTTGGATTTAACTCTGCACTTTCTGGAAGCTACAATAAAAACAGAGCTGGACTTGTTTCAAAACTCTGACTATCTGAGAGGAAGAACCATACCCATTACTTAGGGAAAGTGAGATTTTCCCCAGATTTAAATTTCAAAATTCTCATATGAAACTTGATACATGGAACCATGTGTGATGTGGCTGGTAATTCCCTCAATAATATTTTAGAAACAATTTTATCAATACATATATCACTAATTCATTCTTCATCCATCAACACATATTTATTGAGCATATACTATGTGTCAGGGACTATTGTAGATACTAGTGAGCAAGTCCAAGTCCCTGTCCTCACAGGTGATCCCTCTTGGGGAGAGTGGGGCAATGCACCAGGGCACAGAGTTTCGGTGGCACTGTCTCGGGGCCCTGCTGGGACAACCAAGGGTGCGCATCGCACAGGTATCAGTGGGGCCCAGGGAGTGGTACGTAGCTTCTGCTGGTGCCCTCTGGACCCAGCAGAGAATTCAGATGCCAGAGGCATGGATGGGCCACATACCCTTCCAAGATTTTGTCAAAATCCTCTGACTATGAAGCTTATC